GCTATCGGGTATCAATGTAGCGTCACAAATGACGTAGGTTGTTAAAAGTCAACGAGCTTTTTGTATCCTTGCAGAGATTTTGTCAGTCACTGACCCCCAGGGCTAATTCGACTTCCCAAGTAGCTAAAGTAACTAATACGCCCCACCATCTCACTACCTACTGTTAGATGAAACGCTAACAGAGATGAGTCCTGGACCAATAATTTGCATCTGGGCGGTGACAGACTGATCCCAAACATCCTCAAATTGCTATTCAATGTGTCCAGAAGACTCTTAATCTTGTCAATATCTCCCCTAACAGGACTATGTCATCTGCATACTCCAAATCTACTGAAGAGTTTGATGTGACAATGTCAATTCCTTTAACATCAGAGGATGAGAAGAAGACCCCTATAAGCATGTCTTTGATAAAGTTGAACAGGAATGGAGAGATTTGACACAATTGATGAACACCACTAGATTCACACAACTCAAATGACAACAAACTATGGGCTCTGACACATACACGGGTGTTCCAATACAGAATCTTAAAACGAGTGATCTACTTACTCGGTACCCTTTTCAGTGAAAGACACTGCCGTATGACCTGTCGGTCGACTGAGTCGAACGCAGATTTCAGGTTAAGAAATACAGCTAGTGTCAGACGCTGGTAAGTGAACCTGTGCTCCAGAACTTGGTGGAGGTTGAATTTCTGGTCGATGCACACATAACCAGGTAGAAAGCATACCTGGTTTTCTTGGGTTTGCTGCTCTCTAGCTTTCCTTAAGCGTCTAATGATTATAGAACCTAGGTTTCTAGACACTACGTTCGTCAGATTGGTTCCCCTGTGGTTATTACGGAAGAACTCTCCTCTCTTCTTGATAACTGAGAAAACCTGTGATTCAGACAAGTCAGTTGGGATCATATTTGATTGTTATGCGCTTACTGACGCTTGAGTTAATCTGACCATTGACCCTGACCGCCATCTTCGAATACCTCTGGTGCAAGCCTGTCTTTCCCCGCTACCGTTTCTGGTTACAGGTTACTCACAGCCTTCTCAACTTCTGAGAAAGCCTGTTTGGCATTAGCTAACTGGCGTAATCTGTGGTGCCGACTGGCAAGATACCCAACTATCTATGAAGGGACAAGTATAATGTACTGTAGTCCGTTCTGTCCTGTTGTACACCTGTAAGACATGGCAGTTAAAAGTAGAAGATATGAAACGATTGCAGGGTTTTGATCATATGCTTTTTTGTAGCATTGCTCTCATTTGGTGGAATCACTGTGTGAGTATTATCGAATTTAGGCGAAAAGTAGTAGGCAAGGGAGGGAAATCAGTCAATGCAGTTGTGAATCTTCAGCAACTGAAGTGGCCTCGGTATTTGTTGCGTATGTTAATTCACTACTTTCCTTGAGTTGCAATGCTAGCAGACAGTAGGATTAGATTGAAGGAAGGCTCAGGATGGTCAGAACAAGACGTTACACTAGTGGATGAAGTCCCTGACTACTGGTCTGAGCTATACGGGAAGTCCAGACTGTTTAGCTGGGATCCCTGAGACGAAAGGAATCAGTGGCTGAGAATTCTTGGTGACATGAATGAAAATCGGTCACAGTGACGCAGATAATCCACTCCTTCAGGTCTTCTAAGGCTTAAATGTTTGCACTAACCGTTTTCTTTACATTGTTCATGGTCTGCTTTGATATCAGTCTATCCACCTGTTCATCGATACAACTGTGAAGTGTTGCCACTTGAGTCAATGCATTTGTGTGCAAGGTTCTACGTTGACTTTGTCTATCTGCCTCTCAACTTCTGTAAGTTTGAGTGGTTTATCTTAGTGCTGCAATTAAGATCCAACTAGATAGTGAGTAAACGAATAATAGCTGAAAGTTATTTGAACTATTTCTCCAAGTGTTCCACATACTGTCTCCTCTAAAAGTAAACTGCAGACTGGTCATTGGTTTCACTAACGATTGGATTAATTACCTCACTTCCCTTAATCAACCTGAATAGATGTCTACTGTTACCTAAAGCTACTACTTTTTCATGTATTTGTTCTTCATTCCCCACCACTACTCACTGACAATACACACTCGCTGTGAGTTCATATTAGAGTTGCTTCGGCTCTTAATTATGCTTGAAGTCTACAGTAGTGCATTTCATGCGTCCGTTAACTCAGATTCAACTGCTGAAATGAACTGACGCTTTGCAACCACTTTCTGAGGGTTATTTGCGGTCTTTATTTAGTTTTTACACGAGTTAGACGAAACCATACTTCTTCTGGATGAGTGACGTTGTTGTTCAGATAACTATCCAGCTAGTTCTTCATTGAAATCTACCTTAGTACTTTTATCGTCGAACTGTGCTCGAAATTATCTTGTTTCCGTAGTTTTTCTACATCTATTTAGGTTCAGATATAGGCATGTTCGAACCAACATGTGATCACTGTTCAAACACATGCTCCATAAGGAGTGGCAATCATCCACCAACCCTTTCAAGAGACCAAAGATGTTCCGATATCTCAAGTCGCTATCAAAACCTGCAAAACTTGTGAAAATTAACGACGACAGGAATTTTGAAAAAGATGTGAGGAAGGATTAGAAGGCAAAGACGAGGAGGGTTGATTATTATATGATGGAACTTGATTGGTAACCGAGATGTGAAGGTAGTTGTTACTTCCCAGATGCCTATATAGTTGAACGTTACTTCTAAAGGTATCCGGAGAAACAGAAACTAACCGGTTAGTTGAAGACGATATAGACAAGGAAGAGGCTACGGTCGGGTATTTTACTAAGGTCTTTACCCAGAAACCCTCGACAGGCACGAATTTAACAGTGGGAGCATTCACGTCCAACATAACAAACTTTGGGGAAACCGACTGCAATGATGTATTTATAAAATTAAGTATTCCAGATATCTAAAATGAGCTGCACTCAAGGCTACCCAGGTAGCTGGCACTCTACGTAGTTGGTCCACTGACTACTATATTCCTACAGTTAAGGCACACTCCTCCGTGAGTGAAATGATGCCATGGTCATACCTTCCCAAGTGGTAGATTCTAGGCAGCACCCATCAAATCACAGACCGATATACTTGACTAGTACTGTAGTAAAAGTCCTAGAAAGAGTAGTGAAGAAAGCCATTACGGTTCACCTAGGAAGTAACACCCACAACATGGCTTTCGCAGAAGTTTCTCATATTTGACAAACCTGACAGTCAGAGAAAGTTGGGTTAAGTCTAAGAATGATGGGATACCTGTAGATATCATTTCCATAGACTTCAGTAAGACGTCCGACAAGATACACATAAGCAAAGAACGAATTTAGTTCCTGCGGAGTACTATCCTTTGCATCAAGTAGTCAACTCTTGGATGAAGTGGTTTCCATATCAGATAACCCGTTCAAAATGGAAAAGCACAAGTATCTACCAGAAAAAGGGTTAATATAGGCTAGTGACCTTGGATCCCTTAACTACAAATCTGGAGAAGAAATTACATTAGAACTGATGGTGCTTTACTGGAGCTCGATCTACATCTGGTTGAAGCTAGTCACATGCACCACTTACTGTAGTTTGAGATTTAACTTTGATTGTCTCAATCCCAATAAAGAAATCAGTACGGGAAGAATCAGAATTTCACGGGGTACAGAGCTTGCTGCTTTTAAAGCCTACCTCGTTTGCCAAAGGGAAGACAACAAAAGTATGAACTCAAGCAAAAGGGGCTCGTGATACGACACCAAAACTAAGATATGTGATACACTCGATGGTGATCAGACATCTTCAGAATGAATAGATGACTAAGTCTGCAGGACCTGTACGAACCTTTAGTTGCCTCCTAGCAATCCACAAAGAAATCGCTTAATCACTGTTTTTAATCTTTACGACCAATTTCTATAGGCTGTTCTGCTGCATCAGAAAGACAGCCTCGTTATAAAACCAATCATCTAAGGAAATGAAACTACCACAATCAAATTGTCCACCCTCAAAAGACCATACGATACACATCAAGATAAGGCCCTCTGCGAATTGGCACTTGCAAATATACACACACCCAAATATGATGGGCAAACTGCGGGTTCTAAGTTCTCATATCAATATAGTTTCACCGAACAACTAGTAGTTAGAAATGATTCACACCAATCTGACGAAACCTGAAGTTCGCGTCCCATGGTCTATAATCAGTCACGTCTAGTGGCGTACTCCAACACTGCAGCTTCTACATCTTAAGAGATCTAAGCCTGCGCCTGAACGGGTTAATAGAAAGTTGTGATATGCTACGGTTCATCATAACTCTTCGAGACTACAATCATGAGATGAACATTATCCTTCCAAAATTTACTCTCACGCGACAAAAACACAAGTGACTGGGTGACATCCTGTCCAAAATCTTAAGAAACCCAAGCTTATCCATCTACATTTTTCCTAAGCCTGGATACAAGCACTCCTCCCAAACCATAAAGAAACTCAAGTACGATACAAAAGTTAAATATGAGGAAGATGAACTTTATTGTACAAAATCCAAATTACATACACAATGGCTTCGTTATCCGTTTCGTCCAGGCCTGAAAAAGAAAACGTACCAAACTGTTACTAGGAAATTTAATTTAAAAGATCAGACATGAAAACTAATCATGAGTCATTCAAGAGGTGTCACATCATTAACGCGTTGCTTACCTTGCACGTATCTGCCTGAACCACACTCTCCAATTGTTGTCTGTAAAGAAAGATTTCTGTTATTCAGTAAAGATAGTTGAAATCACATAATCAAGTGAAACACGGATCATCATATTGTCACTAGAAGATAAATTGTCTAGGAACTCACCTATTTAAAACCGTAATTATCCCGCCTACTGCCTGTTGTGTTCGACAAATTCATCATCGCGACAGAGTTCTAGAAAAGTATACAAAAGCGTACTGCACAATTATCAGAGAATATACGTCGAATCATGCAATCAATGTCATGTGAACTATGCAACATCATGGAAGTTAAAAGAAAACAGCTTACCTAGAGAACGGCGTTCTTGAATTAGTGGTCATCATGCATGACGCTCATGAGCATCGAGTCACATGAAATCCTAATCAAAAAGGATATGGAGAATGATTACTAATATGTTAGAGACTTTATTCATAAAACTCATCTAACATTTCCGCTAATAAACTTACCGGGTGCTCTCACCTGGGTTATACGATTTCACGCCATGTGAATCCAATAGGCGTGAATCTTCGATCTTCACATCATGTTGCCAAACAACAGAAACTCCTTACCACAGCAAGTAGTATCCGCACTTTGTGTCAACTAGATTGTCATAGAGATATCCTCTGCAAGGATCAAGACATCTACTGGCCCATCATCCATCATCCTAATAACTGATAACAGCGTGCATATGCATCTTGAGAACATCGCGTCAGATCATTGTTTCACACTGGCAGCCGGTAACAACTATAGTAAAAATTACTACAAATTAGTTTGAAGGAAGAGTATCAGGTTATTATGGTTCGTTTCATTAAAATCAATAGCAGAACTGGATAACATCATCTACAACGCAAACGAAGACCTACCCATACAGCCTAATACACACGCGTCACGTCGACCATCAGCACGCTCCAGTACTATATAAACATTTCAAAACCAACAGGTCTATATAAACAACATCAAGTTGTTCAAATACCAAACTCCAACGTTAGTTTTCTTGTAAGGGTGAACTGAATGTTACTCGGATTCCATATCCGTATTATTCTCAAGCGTAGCCTTTAGGAAAATGTTCTTGTTATTGTCATTTTCAGTGCTTACACGAATGCTTTTCGAGTATTTTGTTCTACTGTACCGATGTAGCGTCATACACTTCCCCAAAATCAATAGCCTAGGGTTTGACGACTTCGACATTGATGCTGACCTTGATAGTTTAACTGGACTCGCTAAGCTGAAGGCATCCGGTCAAGCATCCTCGCCATTTGGCACGCTGTCGTGTTACGTTGCATTGCTCGTATTCGACTCTCTAGCCAGTTAGTTGGAACGCATCGGTATTTTGGCATAACCATCCAAATATACTATTCCATCCGACTACGCTATCGTGTTCTACCTTGGTCTCGTATTCGTGGGTATATAACAAGTTCGAATAATTAGTGATTGGTCTTTGCGTCTGTCAAGTTCGCACCAGGACAAATCCTAAATTGGTGAGCCCGACGTGATCACATATCCCGAACAATAACAAGTATTGAATTGGTGAGCCTGTTCCATTTTATATTTGTTTATTGTTTTCATTTCGATAACATTTATATATCCATTTACTACACTTTCTCATGTCCGACCACACTCCCAAGCTTATTCGTATTAAGCCGACCTCGAACACGATCCAACTCGTGCCATATTGGCCAGACAATGCAGAAACATGGTTTCTGTATGCCGAGGCCGATTTTCGAGAACAGGGTGTCTCAGATCCTCAATCTCGATTTCTTGCCGTCATACGTTCACTACCGCGAGAATTAAACAGGTTTGTTACAGCAAACATGTTTAATCCTGAAGTAAGTGACCCTTATGCACTTCTAAAGGCTGCACTCTTGAAGAAAAGCGATCTCACAGATCGCCAACGTCTAGACGAATTGCTTCGTAACATCGAGCTAGGCAGCCACTCAGCTACTGAAGTCCTCGCACGCATGCGAGAAGTAATCGGTGCACGAACATTTGACGATGGTTTCTTCCGAGAACTATTTCTCTCGAAACTACCACAACCGGTGCAAACCGTGTTGGTGACACTGCAGTCAGTCCCACTCGACGACCTGGCAGCCTCAGCAGATAAAATACTGGAGATATCCAGCAGACCCGTCTCCAACGTATATTCTATCTGCGACAAAACAGAGCGCCAGGATTCGGAGGTGACCAAGTTGTGCAACTCTGTGAAACGGTTGCTACGATCTCGAAGTCCTAGATCACGTAGCACTTCACAGAAACGCACCTTGGCGCATCGCAGCAAGTCGCGTGGTAGCCCTAAAACGAAACCCAACAGGGTGGAAAACCCTGAATGGTGCTGGTTTCATAACACTTACGGGGATGAAGCCAGAAAATGTCGTAAACCATGCCGTTTTAAGAAGGACACAAACTCGGGAAACGGTCACGCCGGCACGTGCTCACGGCAACCGTAGCCGGCGGAAAAAGCCGTTTGCTCTACGTCACCGGCATTAAAACGAAAGTCCGCTACCTCGTCGACACCGGCGCAGAAGTTAGCGTTCTTCCAGCAACGACAAAGGAGCGTCATCTCGACCCATCCTTCAATCTTCAAGCAGCCAACGGCAAGGCAATCGCGACATTCGGGAGACGGTATGCCTACCTCAACTTAGGTTTACGCAAACCTATTCACTGGATTTTCCTCCTGGCAGACGTCTCTATGCCTATCATTGGCATAGATTTGCTGAACCATTACGATCTACTCGTAGATGCTCGCCGTCGACGACTGATAGATAACAACACAAAGTTATCTATTGGCGGCACCACCTATGTAGGTCCGAGTTTAGCCATCGTTAGGACTAAACAATCAGACGACGCGTCCTACCAGGCAGTTCTGGAGAAATATCCAGAGTTACAACAACCGAAACACACTCTTCCGTGCATAACCAGCAATGTTATGCATCACGTGACAACCACAGGTCCACCTGTGGCATCCAAAGCTCGCCGTTTAGCCCCCGATAAGCTGCAAACGGCGAAAAATGAATTCGACCATATGCTCGAACTGGGCATTATCAGACCGTCAAACAGTCCTTGGGCATCGCCATTGCACATGGTTCCCGAAAAGGATAGCAACGACTGGCGTCCAACGGGTGATTACCGAAGGCTCAACGCCAAAACAACCCCAGACCGCTACCCGATACATCAATACAAACCCTCGTACACTGTGCCTTTTTTTTTATATCGATTTTTATCACCATGTGATAGAAATTAAAAAAAAGCCGGCGAAGGTAAGCGTAAATTTTTATTTTTCGACACGTTTATATATAAATAATTCCCATTTTTACGCAACGTTTTCGTGGTATTAAAGACTTTTATTTATATTCCAGGTGCAACGAGCACTGGACGGAACGTCGAAAGGAACAGATGACCGCGACCGACGTACAATTTCATTTATTGTATTTTATTTGTTTAATCGCCACGACACTTTAGAATAAGGTTCAGACAACCAGGGGCCACCTCACGCAGTGAGCCCATCGGGAGAGTTTTACCAGTGGAGAAATCACTGGGTTTTTACTTCCGGCTGGTATCGTCTTAGGGTCCTCACGAACCCACTAGGGGGGGAGTGATCTGTAGCGTCATACACTTCCCCAAAATCAATAGCCTAGGGTTTGACGACTTCGACATTGATGCTGACCTTGATAGTTTAACTGGACTCGCTAAGCTGAAGGCATCCGGTCAAGCATCCTCGCCAGCTCGGCGTCCGACCGGTGATTACCGAAGGCTTAACGCCAAAACAACTCCGGACTGCTACCCTATACCCCACGTTTACGACTTGACCGCAACCTTATGCGGCATGAACATTTTCTCGAAAATCGACTTAGTCAAAGCGTACAACCAGATACCTATGGCAGCAGAAGATATCGCGAAAACAGCCATTATTACTCCTTTTGGCCTGTTTGAATTCCTGCGCATGCCTTTTGGTCTTCGGAATGCAGCACAAACATTCCAACGCTTTATGGACGACGTCTTCCGTGGTCTGAATTTTGTTCATGTCTACATAGATGACTGTCTAATTGCGAGTCCAGATAAGGAAACACACCTTAAACATTTGGACCTCGCATTCGAAAGACTCAAAAAACATGGCATCACAGTTAACTTACAGAAGTGTGAAATAGGAGTTGAATCACTCAGCTTCCTTGGGCATACCATTGACAACAAAGGTATACGCCCATTGAGAGATAAAGTGGCGGCTATCACAAACTATCCAGAGCCGACCACTGTGAAACATCTCCGCACTTTCAATGGCCTGGTAAGTTATTACCGAAGGTTTATCCCTAACTGTGCCTCTGTCATGAGACCACTCACAGATCTACTTCGAGGAACTGCGAAGTTCGTGTCTCTGGACAACGCGGCTAGACTTGCTTTCTCCAAAGTCAAGGAAGCCATTTCGAACGCAACCATGCTTATGCATCATGACCCCAATGCTCCTCTGAGTATTGCTGTTGATGCATCTGATTCAGCAATTGGAGCAGTTTTGCAACAGTTGACTGACAACCAGTGGCAACCGTTAGCCTTTTTCTCGAGGCGGCTGCAAGACGCGGAAACAAGATACAGTACATTTGGTAGGGAACTCCTAGCCATGTACTGTTCTGTACGCCATTTTCGACATTCTGTGGAAGGTCGTGATTTCATTATTTTCACAGACCACAAACCGTTAACGTTTTCCCTCAGCTCGGCGTCTGACAAATACTCCCCTCGTGAGTCGCGACAGCTGGATTACATTTCCCAGTTCACGTCAGACATCCGCCACATTTCTGGAGCAAACAACTCCGCAGCCGACGCACTATCTCGAATAGCTTCGATAAACTATATCGAGGGTATTGATCTCGTTGAACTAGCTCGGCGTCAAAAGGAAGACCTTGAGCTGCATCATGAGTTGTCGTCCACAACTCTCAAACTGCGACTTTGTCCTGTTGGATCAGACAAGGATGCAATTTTGTGCGATGTCTCTGCTAGTCAACCACGCCCAATAGTTCCGAAGAGTTGTCGACGCAACGTCTTCAATACGTTGCACAAACTCTCTCATCCAGGTGTACGAGCCACCATTAGGCTTATCGCACAACGTTTCTGCTGGCCTGGGATGAACAAAGACGTTAAGGAGTGGGCCCAGTCGTGCTTAGCTTGTCAAAAGTGTAAAGTCACGCGACACACGAAAAGCCCTTTAGGCTCATTTCTAGCCCCAGACATGCGTTTCGACCACGTCCATATAGATATTGTAGGACCCCTACCAGAATCTAATGGATGTACCTACCTTTTCACCTGTGTTGATCGTTTCACACGATGGCCGGAAGCAGTACCCATTAAAGATATTACTGCCGAAACAGTTGCTCGTGTTTTCGTCGAAAGATGGATCGCGAACTTCGGATGTCCATCCTACGTCACAACCGACCGTGGGCGCCAATTTGAGTGCGGACTATTTCACGCTCTAACGGCACTTTTAGGTTGCACTCGGTTCCGAACGACAGCCTACCATCCACAAGCAAATGGCATGGTAGAGCGTTTCCA